CGGCGAAGTCTAGCTACTTCTCCGCTCTTATTGCATCTGCAGAGAACCGCCCAGCCATGCTGTTTAGGGTGACCTGCTCCCTACTTCAGATGGGGGTACGGGAAAATCCCTTAAAGGGTCGAGCTGAGGATTTTGTACAATTCCTGCATGATAAAGTCGCTCAGATTCAGGAAGGCCTGGACTCCGATTGGGTAGATCCAGGTGAGGAGACGGGGGCAGGTCTTGAGAGCGTTATCTGGGAAGAGTTTGACTCTGTGACTCCTGAGGACGTGGACAGGATTCTGGGCAAGCTTAACGCTGTCACATGTTTATTGGACCCGTGTCCCTCCTGGTTGGTACTGGCCTCCCGGGAGGTTACACAAGGCTGGCTCCAGGGAATTATAAATGCTTTTCTGAGTGAGGGTGTCTTTCCCGCCGCCTTGAAAGAGGCAGTTGTGAAGCCCCTCCTCAAGAAGCCTTCCCTGGACCCGGCTATATTATCAAATTATCATCCAGTCTCCAATCTTTGTTGCGAAGGTTGTTGAGAGTGTGGTGGCGCGACAACTACCCCGATACCTGGATGAAGTTGTCTATCTGGATCCGTTCCAGTCGGGCTTCAGGTCATGATACAGCACGGAAACGGCATTGGTTGCGTTGATGGATGATCTCTGGAGAGCTCGGGACAGAGGTTGCTCCTCTATCCTGGTCCTATTAGATCTCTCAGCGGCTTTTGATACCATTGACCATGGTATCTTGCTGCACTGGCTGGAGGGGTTAGGAATAGGGGGCACCATGCTTCGGTGGTTCTCCTCCTTCCTCTCTGACCGTTCGCAGTTTGTGTTGGCAGGGGGGCAGAGGTTGATCTCGAGGCACCTTATTTGTGGGGTGCCGCAAGGGTCAGTCCTCTCACCCCTTCTATTCAACATTTATGTAAAACCACTAGGCGAGATCATCCGTGGTTTCAGGGTGAGTGTTCATCAGTATGCTGATGACACACAGCTATACATCTCCACCGCAGACCACCCCAATGATGCCCTTGCTGTGATGTCCCGTTGCCTGGAGGCCGTGCGGATCTGGATGGGGAGAAATAAGCTCAGACTCAACCCCTCCAAGACCGAGTGGCTGTGGCTTCCGGCGTCCCGGTATAGTCAGCTGGTACCATCACTGACAATAGGGGATGAGATCTTGCTCCCCACAGAGAGGGCCCACAACTTGGGTGTCCTCCTGGATTCACGGCTATCTTTAGAAGATCATTTGACGGCCGTGGCCAGGGGTGCCTTTTATCAGGTTCGCCTGATCCGCCAGTTGCGTCCCTTTCTGGATCGGGATGCCTTGTGCATGGTCACTCATGCCCTAGTTACCTCCCGTATGGACTACTGTAATGCTCTCTACATGGGGCTCCCCTTGAAAAGCACCCGGAGGCTCCAACTGGTCCAGAACGTAGCCGTGCGGGTGATTATGGGCGCAGCTCGTTACGCCCATGTAACACCTCTCCTATGCAAGCTGCACTGGCTCCCGGTGGTCTTCCGGGTGCGATTAAGGTGTTAGTTATCACCTTTAAAGTGCTCCATGGCTTAGGACCTGGGTACCTACGAGACCATCTTTTGCCACCAATAGCCTCCCACCAACCAGTTCATTCTCACAGGGAGGGACTACTCAGGGTACCGTCAGTCAAATTATGTCGACTGGCGACTCCCAGGGGGAGGGCCTTCTCTGTGAGGGCTCCAACCCTTTGGAATTAACTGCCCCCGGAGATACGGAATATCCCTGATCTCCATGCTTTCCGCCGTGCCCTCAAGACCCTGATGTTCCAACAGGCGGGGCTAAACATATGAACATGTGAATGATTTTTTAAATGTTATCTAATTCTGGGTTTTATTTAATTGACCAAACTAAGTAATAATTTTAATTAGCAATTTTATGATGTTTGTGTGTCTATATTTTTCTTGACTGTACACCGCCTTGAGTCCTATGGGAGAAAGGCGGTATAGAAATATAATAAATAAATAAATAAATAATTGAAGCCATCACTTGAGCGGTGAAACTGCTATAAAAATTCTTTTGCACTTATCACCTCAGCCAATTGCTGAACAAGAGGGAAGCTGAGAAGTGATCACAGCAAACAATCACCAGTTTGGGCACACTCACTCAGTGTGTATACCTTAGTTTTAGTTCCAATGTGCTCAAAAGTTAAAGAAAAATAATTAGAAACAGAAACAAAAGTGATGTCAGAACTAACAGACGGGAGGCAGGCAGGCGGGCTTAAATATTGGGATTTTTAATCATTTATTTCCTCTTCCTTTGGTATGTGCCACAGCAGGTTGCAAAACCTAGTCAATCTTGATTAATCCCCCCAAAAAAACCATTTGGATGGAAGGCCACCAGAAGACCCTGGACTGTGGACTAGATTAGGAAGTAGAAAAACAAACATCTAAGAAAGGCAATGGCAAAAATACTTCACTGTGGCTGCCAAGAAAACTACACTGAAATATCCAAGTAACCAGACTCAAGGAAGATTTAAACTGAAGACCCTCAGGGACATCTCAAAACATCATAACAAAACAATGCAACACCTTGTGCAAATTTAAGATATTCTTGGAATTGCTTGTGGGAAATGTAGAAATGTCTAAAGCTTCAGTGGAAGAACTAGCCGTGTTCTAGAGAGGTTTGGAAGATGATGAAAACAGTACAGGTGGAATTGGATGGGTGAAAAGATACATCAATGTTTTTCTGGTTTTCTTAGTTATCATACTCAAAATGAAATATATTATTACACTGAAATAGTCCAAAAATAATGTCCATTTCATTGCACCAATACCAGAACCACTAAGTAATACTTGAATCAGGGAAGTGGTGATGATAATTAAGATATTCCACTAATCCAGAGGTCATCAATTTTTATTTTTGGACTAATAGCCATGACTTTTCTGTCCAGTTGGCCTTACAGGAACTTAATAGTTGAGGGCTGTTTTTTGGATAATTGGGACGGTTTGTAGAACAGGGTGGAAATGGGAGTGGTTCACTTCCCAAAAGTCCTGTGTTCCCTTCCTAGCCTAATTTTCTGCTCTTAAAACTTAAAAATGGTCATTTCACCACCAAATTACAGTGGCAGTACCCCAGAGTGCTTTGCAAGATCCCAAAAAGTCTGGGGTAAAAAAAAAATAAATACACACAGCCTCCAGATTACCCAGCATTGTCATATTTTTAAAGAGATTATATTCCCATATATAAGACATCCTAAATTTGTTTAAAGAAAATTTTAAAGAGCTGTTCTTGGTATTTTTCTATATTTCCAGTACTCACTTGAAATAAAAGTTCTTTCTGAGATTAACGAAAGATGGTTACCTAATGGTAAAATTTAACAATTAACGAACAAGTGTCCCAAATTTACCAGACAGGAGGAAAATAAAACAATTCTGCCTCAGGCCTGTGTCAGACATCTTAAAGGCATTCATGAACTAATGTGGAACAAGATTTCTGCCTGCCATGCCTGGCTAGCTCTCAATGAGGCAGACATGGGTATTCATATTTCAAAGAATCATAGTGTTAATTCAGAGATTCCCCTTTATTTGTATGTAAGGGAAAAAAAGCACAGAAAACTAACTTCTACTTGGTGATATCTCATGTGCTTAGATAGAAGATGATGTACATCAACTGTGTTTACCAATCTTGTTTATCAATAGGTAGACATACTACTTACTGGGCCCTGATTTCTCAGTCCAGCAGGTGATTAATAACTTAGTGGCTTTTGAAAGAATGCATTTATTATTCAAATTAATGAAATTATAATCAAGAGGTGACAAATTAGCAATTGCTCCTTGACTGAATATGGAAACTCATTAGGCACTTTTGTGGCATTTACCCATGTACAGCTTCATCTTAACAATCAGAGACAGGAGGTGAAGAGGGAGGGAGAAAGATATCCTTTGAAATGACTTTGGCTTGTAAAACAAATCCTTATTTGCATATGATTTTTGCCATTTTCTGGGTCTTGTTTACTCCCTTTAAAGCACAGTGGTTATCAGAAAAATCCCTACTGTTATCCGGATTGTCCTGCCTAAGGAGTCTATTTGCACTCTCTCCAAACTAAACCCCAAATAGCCTAATAAGCAATTACTGTCTCCTATCCTATCCTATCCTATCCTATCCTATCCTATCCTATCCTATCCAATCCAATCCAATCCAATCCAATCCAATATAATGTCTCAATTAATATAAGAAAATATCTTCTTAGGAGGATTCTTATAGAAGCTGGAATCAGAAAAGCAAAAATGATGAAGCTGTACCACAGATTTGGGAAGCAGAGGACACAGAAAATTAAGTTGGCTCTAACCATGCCTCTAACAATCATACACATGTAAAAACTCTGCCAATCTTTGTAAGTCTGAAAACACCAAAATCAAGTTTCTACCACTTATGGTACAGAAATAAATTTATCTGAAAAATAGCGAGGATGTTCTTCTAAAGCTACCTTCCGAATCTCATATGATGTATCAGAACCCCCAGAATGCTCAGCCAGTACAATGGGCACGGTTGGAGTTTTAATTCAACATCTGGCCGAGTATCACATAGATAAAGTCTATTCTAAAGGCTTAGAAACTGGATGCAATTTATACAGCTGCTCGTATTCGGTATCAGACTGACACAGCTATCTGTAATTTGTCTTTCCATTCAACATATTCCACCATTTCAGCTCTGCACTAGAGCTTGAAATGATGAAAAACAGAGATGAAAGAAACATACACAAATCATGAGAGAGATGTAGATGTTCTCTTCAGGATTCAACTTTGGTGTTGCTTTCCAAATAGAAAAACACAAAGTATTATTTGCCTGAACACAACTCCAGGGCCAAGAAATAAAACAACAATCCAAATTGACAATCACCCCTGTAAAACAGATCTGGCATATCGTACACTTGAGAGCATTATTTCCCTGTAATTTGCAATGAATAGGCAATCCCTTTAAATCTCAGAGTGTTTTTTCTCCATCCCAATGAGCAGCAGTCCTTCAAGGTTACTTACCAATGTGCTTCCCATACATGTGATAATAGAAGGAGACACAGAATCTAGCGGTCATGTTGTACATAGGGCTGATTAATCTAGCTTTGTCATCCTTCACTCGGGGTGCAGAGGCTTCAATGAACATGTAGTACCCTGGAGAGTAAGAAACCAAGAGTAGGAAAGGTAACCACATTGCCACAGTCCTTTTTCATGTTAACAGTATTAAAAGTAGTATGAAAAAAAGCAAGAATCTGACTCAGCCCACAGCACTAAACTAGAATTTTGGGCCTCAGCTTCATCTTCTCTCTGAAAGTGACAGAACTTGGACTTAGGTTAATTTACTTATTTACCTATTTATATCTACCTTTTCTCCAGGATGTTTAGCTGGCTTATGTGGAATGTACTGATCCAAACCATTCAGTGAACTTTCATGGCAGAAGATGGATTTGAAATTGGGCCTCCACCAGTGGTGGGTTGCTCCCGGTTCTCACTGGTTCGGGAGAACTGGTAGCAGCGGCAGCAGGAGGCTCCGCCCACCTGCCTGGAAGTCATCAAATACGCTCTGTGCATGTGCAGAAGCTTCTGCGCATGGGTAGAAGTGGCGCACGTGCAAGCAAGCAAAGCGGTAGCAAAGGTAAGTAAAACCCATCACTGGCCTCCACATATTAGTTCCATTCTTCTAGCTCTTCGTTCTAATCCTACTATCCTCTCCCACCTCAATTATCTCAATATTTTTTCAGGCTGTTCTGGAAATGCTGATGTTTCTTGGGAGCATAGCTTTGCAACCAGTACTGTATGTTAATTTGTACTAGCCAAACTTCCATAGAAAGACTGTCACCCTTCCATAAATCTTGTCCTAAAATGCATGCATATTGGAGAATATGATTAAATGCTGATCATGCCGGAGAATCATTTAACCCAATATTCTGTGCCACACAAGAGCCGGCCTATTGAATTTAGGAAGTTTCACAAGCAAGGGAGAGAATCACTGTTCCTCTTCAAAAACTGTTTTTTAAGGAACATTCAAACAAGTGGAATATATTCAACATCATAGTCTCCATTAGGAACAGAAGATAGTGATGTTTTTTTTTTTTAAAAAAAAATCTCTCATTTTCCAGGCCTAAATAATTGTTTGTCATTTCCACATCAGCAAAACACCATCCTTCTTTTTAAAAATGAGAATGAAAACCTGAGTACATTTTAATAGATGCATTTTTACCAGCAAAATTTTAATATGCCTCTTGCAGAATTCGCACATTTTAGGGTGCATTTTCCCTATTTTGGGGATTTCATAAATTGCAATCTCCCTCCATAAAAGTGTTTCTATTGATGCTTTGCTGTGTTTTGCTTTGATTGGGAAATGCAATTTAGATAGGCAGTTTCTACTTTCTCTTCAGTATCTATTCCTTGTTCACTCAGAACATAACAACAAGATCTTATGGAAGCTGTAACAAGATGAAGACAATTCATTTTAAGCCTGCTGAATTTTTCCTTGGTCATTTTGAACCTCTACTATCTTGCTCATTTCTGATGGGAATTCCTAGTATTTGAATATTCAAGTTTCTCTATAAAAAGTAAGAGACAGGAATAGAAGTGCTTATAAGTATTGTAATCACCATGAAACATAGAGAGAAAAGGGCTCTGGGTATGAGGTAAAGGGATAGGTTGACTAGCCTGAGCTTCCAAAATCAACTTTGCATCATCGCTTATATATCATAACCTTTTCTGAAAAGTTGCATGGAAAAGCTTGGAAAGGTTCTGGAGGCTTTATTGGACTCCTGCTCCAGAAGTCAGACAGACATTTTAGAAGGTTTAAACTTGTTTTCCCTCTTGCTTCTTTCCTATGTGCATGCATCAATGAAACAAGGACATTTGGCAGCAGTAATTAGCCAGTAACAAGGCCTAATGTTCTCCTGATTCCTCTAAACAAAGCTGTGGGAGTTTTAATTGGTTATTTAATGTGAATAAGAATATGCAAATTATCTGCCTCATGTCTAATACAGATCAAGAGAATCTGTGTGCATGTGCATGCACATGAGTGTGTATACGAAGCTAAATTTTATATATTTTATTATATTTATATATTTTGTTATCGTACCTTAAGATGAAGCATAATATAGTAAATAGTGTAGCATCATATAGTAAGCAAATTGTTCTTAGAAAAGATCTGGAAAAATCCAGAGGCAGCAGTTCTATCTTCTACAAATTCTCAATATTGCAAACAATGCAAATTAAAGATTAAAGATTTCAGGTAAGAAGAAGGAAGGGTCAAACAGTCTGGCGGGTGATGGGAAAAACTAAGAATTGAATTGAAAAGTTTCATTCTCAACAAAAATTGCTAAAGTTATTCCAGCTCTAGCAAGGATTCAAGAGACAGAGATTTGACAGACATTTGGAGCTGTAGATTCAAAATAAATAGAAAGATGGCAGATGGCCATTTGCATGAGACTGATGACAAATACCATTTTGTAAGTACTTATGAAATGGGGAATTCCTCTCTCCTTTGTTAGATATCAGAGAGAAGGCAGGAATAAGAAAAAACAAACTTTGAATCAGGAAACTGGTGGCCTACTCACCTTCAGGTGTTCCACTGAAATCCATGGTAGGGCCTGTGTTGGCAGTGCGCTTCGGGTCATGGGTTAGACTGCTTTGACGAATCCAATCAAAGTTGTCTGTTGTGTCCTGAATATAACCACAGATCTTCTCATCTTCAAAGTGGCAGGTGTTACCTGTAGGCAGGTAAGGTGCCTAATAAGTAGATCATTCCAACATGATCTTGTCTGGTGGAGTATACAGGAGACAAAAAAATAACTTCCTTGTAATAATGATACTTCTACACTGAGAGAATAACACTAATTCATGGAACAAGTTGCATCTCCTATCCACAAACTGAAGCCAGCAAGAAGTCACAAAAGCTAAGTAACAGCCCTGCCTTTTTCTTCAGCTTTAAATAAATATGGGAGAGTGTAAAAATCTATACATTGAAAAATGTCCTGCCTGTTTATAGATGAGTTAACAAAGCACACTGTGATCATATTTGTGTGATGGATGGATCTAGACAACATGTGGATTTGTTGTGATATTTTTTAACATTTCCCCAATGACTTTCCAAGCACTTCAAAACGCTGCTGCTGGCCATGCACAAAAATATTCTATTCAGTCTTCACCCACAAGGAATAAAAAAGCAAGGATAAGCATACACGCCTTGTTGCCAGCATCCTCACAGGTTTGGCTCCTCTGTAAATCTTCCAATAGTGAATCTATAAATGAACTTAGCAAACTAATTATAGATGTAAGGATGATCACGTTCATTCACTAACTTGTTTTCAATAGCTTTGGCTCCCTATAGCCAAGAATATTAATATATCTCTACAAACACTCCAGCTTTTTAGCAGCTCAGATTATGGGGAAGCACGCATACCTATGTTGGAGTCCAGCTCCTCAATGTTTGGTGCTACATAATCCAATTTTGAATATTCATTGACCTCTTGCTGTTTATGAATGGAATCGATCATAGAAGGGACTCAAAAGGGCTGGATAACATTACACAAAACTGGAGGGAAGTCGACATGTTGAGCAAAATCAAAAGATAAAAACAAACTGATAAAATTTGCGATCAGCTTTGGGATAATGTCAAACTCCATTGATATGAAGAAGAAAATCAGGATGTGAAGTGTAGCTGGAAGGAACAAATGAAGTTGGCCTTTATATCTTTTGCTGTAGTCCCAAGCTACTATTTCAAGTTCCTTATTTAGCTATTTTATAGACTATTAATTTGTAAATTAATCATATTATTTTACTGACAATTTCTGAACTCGGTTGGGATGTTGATTTACAGGCATTTGCATAACCACATTTAGCATACTAGTTACAGTCAGTATAATTTCACAATGATTACCCAGGCTCCTTTTATATCATATCTTTGCTATTGCAACATATTTTATGGATGGTTATTTTTGAAAGCAATCCAGAATTTTAAATGTTACAAATGTGACAAATTAGCTGTTAATTGATGTAATAATGCCAATCTAATTTTTTTTAAAATCCTATGTTGCTAGCCAATTGTACTTGTGATTTTATCTGTCTAAAGGGCTTCCTATTTTGTATGAACCTGTCATTCTGTTCTGTTCTGTTCTGAACCTGCCACGTTATTAAAGTCTGCAGAAGAAAGAGAATAACTTCTTACAGGCTTACTTTTCTGCTAAACCAGAAAAAGCTTTCTCCGATGACCCCAAAAATGTACCTTTAGAGCTGTGATTGGTTCCACTGACTCCAGAAAGTGTATTTTAAGAGTATTGTTTCAGCATTTTTCTTTTAAAAAGCTTTAATATATGGTATTGTTTTTTTCTGAATTCTCAGATAATACCTCCATAATTCTCAGGAAGTTGGCACAAAAATACTTCAAGAAATAAACCCAATGGCCTAAGGTGATGCCTAAGGTATCATAATCTGAAAGGAAAATAATGGTTTGCAAATTTTTTTACATACACTATACCCTATCAATCCAGGACTGGATGAAAAAAATCTGACTTGATACTCAAACATAAGGTAGTGGAAAGAGATGGAAATTGTCCTTATATGGAGTGCATAAAGAAAGTTAATTAAGAGAACAGCCCTGAATAAAAGGATCAGAGCCTTAAAAAAATATACAAAGCAAAACAATCAAATGCGAAGTCTTAAAAAAACAACAACAACGGGTACCATGATTGTAAGTGAGGTTAGTAATTTTTTTCCTGGTCTCAAGTAGTTTAATACTCACTGATGCTAGAGACCTAGGAAGTGGGGAGGAGGATGGCAGAATATCTTTATTTAAACTGAATACCTGTGGAACAATGAAAAACTGGGGAGAAGGCAGGGGTGGGCTTCAAAAATTTTAGTAAGGGGTTCTCTGCCTGGTTGCTGGGTGGACATGGCCATGGTGGGCATGGCCTAGTCGGCCTCCTGCACCATGGTGGTGGTGAGGAGGCGTTTTTTCCCTCCCAGGGCTCCAGAGGATTTTCTCAAGCCTCCAGTAGGGTGAAAACGGCCTTCCCAGGCTCCAGAGGCCCTCTGGAGGCCGGAAATGGGTCTGAACTTCTGGTAGGCTCGTTTTTCGCCCTCCCAAAGTCTCCAGGTGTGCCCTGCACTTACCTGCATCCAAAACAAGCTACATAAGGACTCCTGAGAGGGGAGGGGAGGGGAGGGGAGGGGTGGCCAGGGCCAGCCAGGAGTGGGATTTGGGGGTTCTCTGAACTGCATAAAATCTTAGCTAGAGGTTCTCCTAAACCCCTGCAAACCCCAGCAGCCCACCCCTGGGAGAAGGGCTTCTATGCATATCACATTTTCTTGCATTAGATTGTGTGTCTATGAGTTTCAAGACCTTTTTTTGGAATATTGAGCAGACACTTTTCCTCTTTCTCGGCCTGTTTTTGGCCTCCTTCATTTTATTCCACATCCATTTCTCTCAAGTTAGAACAAGGCTTAGTTTTAAACTCAATAAAATGGGCATGCAGTGCGTGTTCATTCAGCTTGGTTCTGGGCTGGATGTGAAGGACCAGCTTAAAGTAATTTATCGATTAGAACTGAAGGGCAGCGACTGGTGAAACTCTGCTGACAACTTGCATTGGAAGACCTCATGAACACTCAGCTGGCTGGTGAAACTCCTGCCAGTGAAGTAAACACAGCAGCCAAAGGGAGCTTGGCTGGCCACTTAACCGCTAATTAACCCTGACTAAGTGCTCTCTACGCGGTCCATTCATTTCTAATTAGCATCCTAATCCAAATTAGCCACAGTTTATAATGCTGAGTGCTGGGGACTGCCCAGCATCTGTAACTGGAGAAGAAGCAGAACATGCACGCAGGAGATCTGAGACTAGGAAATCACAAAAACAATCTGTTTTAGGTCCAGGTCTGCGATGCTGGGACAGAAGTGAGCTTTTTAACAGATCTTCCAATGCATGAGGCTTGGAAGATTGGAACAAGGGAGGCTTGTTCATTTCAGCCAATCCCACTGCATAATCTCAGCTATAGATGATGCATTAATTTTGAATTTATAAGCGGATAAGATATAATCCTACTTCCTACAAGAAACCTTGCCATTATCGGTTGATTTTTGTGAACATTATCAGATAAAAGCACTCTTCCCCCTTCCCAGTGCCTTCAACAAAGCAGAATTTGTCACTACTTGCTTTGTGTCTGTGTATGGCAGTATAAAACTTGTTGGAGAAGCTAAGTAGGGTAAAGTCTAGTTAATATTTCCATAAGGGTTCCCCAGAAATTCCCAGTGCTGTAGGCTAGACTGTTGGCCAACGGCTTCACTACTCCTCTTAAAAAAAAATCTCACCAAAAGCTTTGCTCAACTAGAAGACTTCAATTTGCATCTTCCACTTTAATTTCACTGATTTCAATTCTAAACTGAATTTATTGCCAATGCTAAATTAAACTAATATAAAAGTTTAACTTTGCACAGAAGGAAAAGTAAAGATGCAGCAATGAAATGGAACATATGTGGGCATACCTATTAAATAATAAACTGTGTTTTCAACAGAAAACCTTAGGTTCTGCCTGATCAGCACTCATTCCCACCATGCAAGCATTAGGCTGCAATGAGCAGGACAAATAGTCCTCTCTGTGTGGCCAGAAATAGAGGACACCCCACTGGTGGCCCTTTCTATCTTCTTTGAAATCCAACAATTTCTGTGATTTAATTTTTGCTTTTTTTACTATAAGGGAAGAGAAGATGTGGAAGCTCCCATTCATATCCACAACAGTTCTGCTAAATAATTTATTATCAGTGCCAAAGCTGACAACTTCTATTGTCTGTTGGCTGTTTAGGTAAGCACAGACACTTGTCAATGTACCTTTGTCTTTTAACTGATTATTTGTACACTTTCCCTTTACTTCAAGCTGTTTTCCATCTTATGGCTGGCGTCTGCTTTTGCAGAATCTGTGTTTTATAGCAAGTGGTCTGAAATTCGTTCAATTGCAAGCTCATTCATGAAGATTAAAGAACATAGCACATAAAAGAATGTAAAAGGTTCAAACCATACATCTATCTACAAACTGATTTTTTTTTCTGTATGTGGGTCCACCAGACATGCAACACCATTTTTTTTGTCATTTTATACAATTATTTACACGTAAGACACCCGAAAATGAAAATGAACAAAAAGTCCCCAAATGTTGAATACTGCTTATTTGCATCATTATCGCTGTTATCATCTCTTAATAGTATTATTGCTAGCGTGCCATTTAACGGGCAAATATATCTTGGGGGTCCTTAACAACAGCAGTGTCTGTAGCAAACCATGATGATGCCAGAATAAAAACACACTCTCAGTGAGGTCATCACGGACTTGGGTCTTGGCAGCTGATTCAAGTACTTAAGTCAAACCATTTGCATGATGGTATTTCATCATTTTGTTGCAGTATACTAAACTATGATGCAGAAGGAATAGCTTGATAATCAGTGCTAGCAAGTCCTTCAAAAAGGACTTTAGTATTTAGCAGGAACACCTCAGGATAAAAATGTAACAAATGGTCCTTTAGGAGGAATATTTCACTTTTTTTGCAGAGGGTGGGGAATAAAAACCAGCCAACCAAACAAGAAATCCTGACAGTTTTATAAGCTTAGAGAGATTGAAATGTGTGAATGGATGGGCCAAATAAATTAAGGGAAAAAAAGTTTAAAAGAACAAGATAAAGGCACATGCAGAGAAAATGGTTGCCATATTGGTTTAGGTGTATGTTTTACAAAAATATGGTGGAAATGAACAGATAGAAAGAAGGAAGAAAATGTTTCTAATCTTCCAATCATTTCTTGGTATTATGTATTACAGAATCCAGGGACACATTATGCTAACTTTTTTAAAATAATTTTTTAATCATTTCCCACAGGGGATTCAATGGAAGGGACAATAATGAGAAACGCAGCAGCATTTACATTGTGAAAGGAACATAAACTGAAACATGTTGAAAGGAAAAGTTTTTCAGTTTGATGCAGGGTACTCTGTGGTAGTAGACTCCAAGGCCCTGAATTCAAATCTTAACATAATAACACAGTTGGAAGGCACCTTGGAGATTTCTAGTCCAACACCCTGCTCAAGCAGGAAACCCTGTAACATTTCAGATAAATATCCAATCTCTTAAAAATCTCCAGCGATGGAGCTAAACTATCTTGGAATGAATTTCCCTCTTTTGCTTGTTTAAGAGGCTTATTTAAGGAGGATCTTTTAGATGCCACTAAAGATTCTTGGATAGCCAAGAATATGATTGGCTTACTTGGGTGTGTGATAAAGATGATAGATAGATGATAGATAGATAGATAGATAGATAGATAGATAGATAGATAGATAGATAGAGGTATCAATTTTGATATTAAGAAGTATTTTATAACTTTTTAAAGGACTAAGGAATCCTCAGCAAACCAGAAGTATATATTGTTTTTCTGAATTATTCATACACAAAGATCATTTTTATATGTAAAATATTATTTAAAGTCAACACTTATAATGGACTATTCCATATTCCCCATTATTATTCTAGCCTAGCTTCTATTTGTCTAAATAATAAAGAGTTAACATTATTTGGAGAGCACAGTTCTACAGCCAAACTCCACAGTTTTCCAAATAATCATTTCCCTTTAGAATCACTCTATCCATTCAAAACTCTGGGGACATGGCATTTTGAAGATAATGAGAGTTTATAGTTCAAGGCAAATCAATACATACATTATGAATAGAGTGAGATTCTAGCATTAAGTACCAGAGCAAATGTTGGCTTTCCTAGATGATAAGTAGATCTGTAAATAACTACATATATACAAGAACAGCAGTACCATCAACATCAACTTTCTTTTCTTTCTGTGATTCAGTTTTGGATTTATTTATTTATTTTGCAAATGAACCATACAACTGAAACAAGAATCTGACTCACGGAAGAAGCTAAACTTGACTAGAATATCGTGATTCTTCTCTTCCTATTGATCTTTATGTAGCTGTATATTTATTTTCAGATAAATACACTAAAGGCTTAGACTTTATAGGTATGGTCTGTGGAGCCTTGGATCAAGTTCAGATAATTCTGCATGGCATCCTCCTCTTAGATTAACTCCATTCATATTCACTGGCACAACAAATAGAGCGGGTACAAATAAATGATTTGCTTGTAGATCTCTAGTTAAAATGATTCAGCAGCAGGTGATGGAATTCTGGAGATGTGTTGCCAGTATCATTAGACAACAGTGGAGCTTGATGGATGAAGAGTGTAACCAGGGGTGAAATGCTCCTGATTCGGACGGGATCACCTGATCTGGTAGCAATGGCGGTGGGCAGTTCGGAGAACCAGTAGCAGAAATCCCTGCCCCCCCACATGCCCAGCTGAGCCGTGCAATCATCAGAGGCTTTTTTTTTTACTTTTAAAAGCATTTTTTCTACAAAAATGCCCCACATTACCCCCCACCAAGCCATGCCCACAGAACTGGTAGTAACAAATTTTACATTTCTCCAGAGTGTAACCTCAGAAAAGTTAAAGCTACGGTAATCTGGGCTGTAAGTCTCAACAACCATTAGATGGCAAGAAAACTGACTCTTTATTGCCATCTAATGGTCAGTTTCTTATGATCAAATTGTCGGAACGAGACTGTCACATTCAGGAGGAGAGATCAAGTGAGGGATTAGTCTGGAACAGTAGTGAGTTGCAAAACCCGTCGCTACCGGTTCGCTTGTGCGCGTGTGCTCTCTCTCGTGCTGCTTCTGCGTATGCGCAGAAGCATCCGGCACGGGTGGGAGGAGCCTCCTGCCACCGCCCTACCAGTTCGCTGATCCGGGTAGAACCGGTAGGAACCCACCACTGGTCTGGAATTGTTATGTAGACACAAGAAGGCAAGGTCTGACTCTCCTTGAATACTGTTGAACCTTACCTAGTCTTTCTGCGGACAAACTGGGCCAGTCTGAGAAGATTGCTGTGAAATATGCTTGAGCAATAAAGTAGCGCTCAACACAAATAAATCAAATTGTCTTTTCTGGGTCTTCATTACTTTCCTGTTACTTTTTGTTTACAATACTAATCACTAAACACTAATCCTACCTCTAAGCTTAGGTACTGCATACATCATTCATCATAATGTATGCATATAGCATCTTCCTTTATGTCTGGCTGTATTCTCTGGCTCAGCTGTTTCTTTGTTGGTAAACATTTCATTTATTAGATATATTAAAAGAATTTCTTCTTGAATTTTTTTGAAATGTAAAACATATAAAAGTTGCATTGATCCAGAAAACAAATAGTGGCTTGCTTTAAGTGAGAATTATTCTAGATGTTTTAAATTTTACTATATGTGGTAAGCAAGGATTTTCAATAAATGTTAGTTTCAAAGTATGTTTTTCACTATTAAGATTCCACTTCAATTCTAAGGAGCAGGATACATAAAAAGATAAAGAAAGCATGGGGGAATAATCACTTACCTACTGGGTTAGGGTAGCTGATTGCTGAGAAAGGAAACAGAAATAGATTTATAAAAATACTCTTATATTAACACATTTAAAGATGTAAGAGGAAAAAAACCAAGTACCTGGATTTGATCTGATTAAATACCTGTATCCTTTTGTTCCTGGGCAGATTGAAAGTTGAGACTGAATGCAGACAATTTACAATTTAAACCTTGAAAATTGCACCAACGGAGACTGGCCACAAGAAATTGTGTTCTTTTTGAGAAATAAGAAATGTATTATATTTATTTATTTTTTATCCATCTATCCACTCACCAAGCAACTCTGGGTAGTTTACATGGGATTGAAAACATCAAAGAATCCCATTTTTTCATGGAACTGGGTGAGAATTAAGATAACTTGAAAGAATGGATGCCAATATTTGGGAAAGGTTGTACCTTCTGTCATGTCATTAGACTAAATTTTATATGAAAAGAAATTTGGGAGAGGATTAAATCCTGCAGGAGAAAGCTCTGGGTCTAAAGAATTTGATGCCCCTTGTTTTCCCATTAAAATGCTGTATTGTATGCTTGCATAAAACGATGTCCAACTTTATATTCCATACTAACAAATCAGTAAAATGTGTGATAGAAAAAGGTTTGATATTCATTAGAAACTAAAGTCAAGGCTCAAATTCTTCTGGACCTTGTACCTTTCAGTGGTCTATGATCATAATAAAGATTTGATTGATGGTATCTTTCTAAATTGAATACACTTACCGAAGATGCTATTTGGTCATTGAACTATGTACTGTTTATTCATTTCCCACTGAAAAATGATTCATGGATACAAATCACCACGTAACCTAATAGTTGGGAGCAAACTGATGACACGTTTCACATTAACTGCTGCTTTGGTGATGGTGATCAAACACTGAGACCAGTTTTCTTGGAAGATAGTCTGGGTAGCACATATTGTATATGATATTAAAAAAATCACCTTGATCTCTGGAGATGTTGAGATATAACTCTTATAATTTCCCACCAGGAAATTTTGAGATTTGTTGTTCAATATATATGGGGAAGATCAGTGGGAAAAGGTTTCTCTGAATAATGCAGGTCTATTAAGACTTTGTCAAAAGAAATACATTTCCTTTAGTTAATACCTGCCTTTGGAGGTTCAAAAACTGTCAAGTAATAGAGAGAAAGAGACACTCACGTTCTATATAGTGGATAATGCGAGTAGCGATGTCCCCCATCCCAAACCGGGTTATGGGTGTCAAGCGAAGTTCATAGCTTTGAGGCACCTTCAAGTCAGTCAGGAGGTATTCCTGTAACATGCCCTTTTCCATCTTCCTCACAGAAATGGATTTAGGGGGCAAGTCCCTGTGATTCAGCTGTGATTCAGAGATATAAGGCAAGATTGAATTGGATAAGAGTAGATAGTTATGGAATCTGAATGCTGAAGGAATTTTATGAGCTTTGTATTTCAAGTATATCTCTTTTCGTTGTCAATTAGGAGTTGTTTATTCAGAGTAAAGCTGCTGGTATTTAGCACATTCCTACATACAGTATGCTTGATCTAGTGCTAAATTCTAAAATATGGAAAAGGATGTTGAGTCCTCAGAGTCTCACAAGTTTATAAACTAAAATTTAAAAAGTAGTAATTGTTTTTAACTTCTGTAATAATGAAAACTCAGCCTACTAATGTATTTAGGCTATAGTTTCTGTCGAATAGATTATAAGAAGTTTGTAACTAATATAGTGAATACTTTCATAACATTATGGAGCAGATGTTCTATTTGCCACTGTGTTATATGCAAACAAAAAGCTGGACTTAATCTTGGTTTGCACAATATTAATGTTTTTTGTCACAAGCACACTTTGCATTTATACATATTCATTTATCAAAACTGTAGTGTTTTCAGAAAGTCCATATTAATAGCAATAACAATAGCACTTAGACTTATATACCGCTTCATAGTGTTTTCTAGCCCTCTCTAAACAGTTTACAATGTCAGCATATTGCCCCACCAATCTGGCTCCTCATTTTACCAATCTTGGAAGGGTGAAAGGCTGAGTCAAGCTTCAGTTGGTCAGGATTGAATTTCTGGTTCTGGGCAGAGTTAGCCTGCAATATTGCCTTCTAACCACTGCGCCACCAGGGCTCCTTTCTTCCTTCAACTCTTTCCCTGTTTTAATTCAACCTGCAGTTGTGAATTTCTCTTGAAAGATTTGGACTGAACTGAAGTTGCCACATGGTTTGGTTCACCTACAACTCTATGTCATGCTTTCTTTTAGTTGTGTTTTGTTATAGAACCCATAGCGTCGATTCACACATGGTGCTAAGCTAAGATTTACAAATACAACGGGTATATCTAAGGGAGATACTGTAAACAGGCATGCTTCCATTTATCCATTTTTATTTATTAAATGTGGTGCAGACAAAGGATGAGAAAAAGTCAGAACCACACAGTGGTGAGAAAGAGTCCCCTTTACTCAGCTTCCTGTGTGTAAACAGCTTCTGTTTAAAAATAGATGGAAACTAACCAAGCAGAGAAGCAACCTAGAACTAAGGAGAGATTTCTTAATATTGCTTTAGAAGTCATGGGTGCCCCATCATTGGAGGTGTTTAAATAGAAACAGGACAGCCACTTGTCTGAAGTTGTAGAGGGTCTCCTGCTTGAGCGGGGGGTTGGACTAGAAGACCTCCAATGTCCCTTCCAACTCTGTTATTCTATGTTTCTACTCTTGCTCATAAGCACATGTATATTTGTCCTTATATCTGTCTGACTAACGAGATGAGTCATTTCTTGACCAACCTAAAAACAAATTGTCCTCTGATACCAATCTACCCACTGAGCCATCATTCTGTTTCATTTTCATTACCAAACAACCGTCCTGGTCTTTGATAGGTTAATTTTCAGATTCATACTTCTAAATTCATCAAGCAGTAATTCTAATATTCATAGCAAAACATTTGGATTTTTATCCAGCAACATGTCACTGCTTGTTTAAAATGCACTTACACTCCTAATCAAGACATCTTTATCACAACCACAATATTTATCCATAAATATATTAAACAAACGAGGGGATATGAAACACCTTTGTCTTATTCCATGCCCAGTCTTGAACCATTCACTAAGCACTCATGATTTATATTATTCAGCAATTATCTCTCTATAATTATGCAAAACATGTCCTAATTCAGGCCTATTCATTTTATTCCATGTTTTCTCTATATCAACAAATATACAATAATTTTTCTTATATTCATAGATTTCTTAGTGACTTGCTAAAGAGCCAAAATCTGAGCAGCATATTCTTGGGACTGAAGTTCACAAATACTGAAATCTATATGGCTATCAGTGGCCCGTAACCCGGATATGTCACACACAGGTCACGCCCACTCCAGCTCCACAAAGGCAAAAACCATCATGATACGTCATGAAACACGATCGGGTTTGACATCCATGCTTCAGACAGTCAAGGTTTTCATTTAATATTTTTATTAGTACTACATAGAGAAGGTTACTAGCCTTAGTTGTACATGTGTCACATGCAGCAATCCCTTTCCTAATTGTATCACAAATGTGCTTAAACTGGTCTACACAGTCTATGGTCTTTAATTTAGAGACTATCTTGCAGGTCAACTTATTGTTGTCCACAACCCACCAATTCAGAGTTTCAGAAGTACATGTACACTCAAGAGGTGCGGTGATTACATAATTTGGGGGGGGGGGGAGTTGCAAAAGATGAACATAGCTACCTCTACATGTTGTACTTGTTTCAAATAGCCACTTTTAGATACCACATGGTCAAGATCCTTCTGATACAGGATCTTATGCATATACATTTTGTATGATTATTTAAGTTTTTAATAGAAATTGAGAGGTCTCTGACTTGGATTGGAAATAAAGAGGGAGGAGAAAGACAAGACTCATCCTGTATCTCTGATAAACATTGTACCCCCTCCAAATAGTCTGTACCTGTTTCTTGTAGTTTAACAAGCAATTTGGAATTGCGTGATCCTGATTGAAAAAATAGTTTGCATGTATGAAGTAAAATATCAGTGGTCTTTTGCCTCTATGCAGCAGTCTTAGTATACAATCCTTGGCCCGTTCTGTATTAATACTTAAAAGCAGCACAAGTAATGCTAATCTTTTATATCAATTCTAGTTTGCAATTCAGCTGTATAATTTACAGATGGTACTATTTCTCAAGATGATTAAACTCCAAGCTCCTTGAGTAACTATGTTCTTCTTCATGCATCTTCAAGCAGGTTGTACTCTTGTTTTTCTCTTCACTTGCTTGCTTCTGCTCTTTTAAATAGAGCTTAAGGAAGTCTCCCTTGATTGCATGACTGCTACTTAGGATAGAAATGCTTCTCAGGGACTGAAACCAACTAAGGAAGAAACATTACGCTTCTGGAATCTTGCTAGGAGTCCATTTTAATGCAAAGGAGATTCACATGGCATCCCTAGACTTCTGCTTTTCTATTGATCTCCTACCAAGCAAAGCACACACAGAAGCAAAAATTTTTATAAACACTCATACGCGTAACTTTACTGTTTACTGAAAATAACATCAGCTCTTATAATAAAAACAAGGTAAATTCCAGCATCAAAGAAGAAGGGCTGTTTTACAATACTGAACTAAGCATTTCCAAAAGGGAGACAGCTGTCTTAAGTTTAGGGACAACTGTTCCTTTATATCTGATATATTCAGCTGTGTGAAGTTCAATTCACACAGCATAATTTGCAGACATGGAATGACTTTGATTTTACTGATGGCTCCTCTATGCTTGCTCTGTTCGCAAATTGGTAGAATAAAAGACTTGTAGAATTGCATTTTACTTTTCAGTAATCTTATAATCTGCAAACTTGGTTTTATAAAACTGTACTTCATGGTCTTGTCGAAAAGTGAATTGTATGCATGATAGAGTCATATAATTCATTTATATCTAGGCATCCATAGAGCCACTGGCCTTTAGATATCAGGTTTAAAGATCAACCCTTACAGCATTTTCCCATAGTTTGAAAGTTTTCTTGCATTGTTTGCATGATTATATATGCAAATGTGAAAACAAATGCAGATGCAAAAAGCAACAGCACCATTAGAATTAAAATCACATTACATTATATATATTGCATTAAAGTGTTAGTTAATTTAATATAAGTGGGAAGCTGTTAACTCCAATCATTGTGGTAGGTTTGTTTTTCAAAAGTCCATCTTGCTGAGAATGTTCTCAACCAGTCTGCTCCTATCATACCTTCAGGGAAACTTAATTCAGACTGGATCAATAAATAATTAAAAATTAATTGTAAAAAAAAAAAAACTACATGGATCTAATGTCCCGTGAAAAATATGATGCAAATTATGTCTATTTTTTTGTATTCCTACTTTCTATACTCTGTGAAAAAAGAACTGCTATGTCACACAAACACATAAAAGCAGCATAGAACAGACTTATAAGAGCAGATAAAGAAAAAGATACTTTCCATATACATAAACTTCTGAACTGTGCAGCCCATTGCTTTGTTCTCCCTTTTGTGAAGTATCAAACTTACCAAGAAATCTTCTGGAATATAACCTGGGAAACTATGATTAATACCTTTTGAACAAGCGATAGTGTTCTACTATTTTAAACCATTCTCAAATGTTTAGCCTTAGTTCTTGGTGTCATTTTATATATATATATATAAATTGGTGTTTGTTTTATGTGATTATAATGCAAGATTATCTCTTCACTTTTGCTCACATGAAGACAAAAGCCAAGGGGCTTCCTACATCTGAAGCCTCTTACAACGTCTCTATTCACTGAATAGACTAGGATTTCTCAACCTTGGCAACTTTAACAAGTTGTGGATTCTAATTCCCAGAATTCTCCAATCAGCATTAACTTTCCAATTAATTTCTTCTAAGCACCAGGAACCTGAAGCCAAATAAAAGTTTAGGGTAACTATAGGTGGACGCTTTGCAAGACCCTTTTAATCCACAAGAAGGTTCTTATTCAACAGACCGTTGCTAATGTATTATAGTTGAAATTTAGCTCCTGCAAAATGTTTCTCCTGCATGATTGATGTTGGCATTTCTACACTGAAACAACAGCATCGAAATCCCTCAATCTGGGAGATTTTTCTTCATACAAGCAGGGGTGGGATTCAGCTGGTTCGGACCTGTTCAAACTGGTAGGTCCAATGATTAGCTGGCTCTCCCGCCCGCCCCCCTATCTTGTCCTATATTTCCTTCGTTCTGGCTCAGCTGATTCACATGGAACAGCTGATTTCTGCACCACCACTGTTTTACTTACTGGGGATGCCTTAGAAGGTAAGCAGCTGAGCTTCAAATTGCTGTATTTTGAACACTGCGTGCAAGCATGTTAGGTGCGCAT